GTTGCTGTTCTGGTATCACTTCAGCTACTTCCGAGGCTTTCGTTTAGTGCACTGAGTGAAACAAGGGAGGAGGGGTTAACGAGTTTGATCAACTGTCGGTACACAGTAGTGCACCTTTATGCGAACGGTACAGCGAGGTTACTACCTTTCCATAGCCAATGAAGAAGCTGCATTATCTGCATGTAATTTCGACATATGTTCGTCAGTTCTTTCTTCGTTTTTCAGACAGGACAATACATTCCCAGGTCGCCTGCATAACCAGCCTACTATCATTTAAGTTCCTTCCACAGCTTCTGCACCCATAAAACCAGAGTGGGTAAGGAGTGACCGGAGAGGAGCTAGTAGACGTACCGGTATACTATGTACTGAAGCGACTACGTCGCCTGCAGTGCCATAACGACACAATGAAGTGTCGTATTCTTTAACATCAGCCTATAAGTACCGGATTTTTATGTCGCTGCCGCATACGCAACAAATGAAGCTGCTTCCTAGAGCTGGCATTGCATTTCGGATAGCTGTTTACTTAGAAATTCAAATGCATCACAATTTCCACCAGAAATTAAATGTTAATGGCAAATAAATTTGCAGTCTTTTCAAAATAACAGTTAAAGGTCGTGCTGGTCTCATTTTTGCCCGCGTACTGGACGCACCCGAAACGTGGTCACTGACGAATGCAGTCACTAACTGCAACGCAATAATAGATAAAATGACGTATGCTTTAATCCTATAAACAGAATACTCTTCCGCAATCACAGAGACGATCAACTCCTAGTCGTTAAGATACCTCATCATGGTAAACTGAGGGTGGCAGCGTTAGGAATGAGGAGTAATACTGAACACGCATGAAGAACTCAAACCGGCTACACTCCGTTAAGTATTCCTGCCCGAAAAACCGTCAAGCTTGAAATCCCTCCAAGTGATGAATCGAACACTAGAGCTGCCTTCAGGCGTGCCACAAAGCCGTACAGCATTGATCAAAGCAACTGGAAAAGTTGATAGCTACACGGACTAAAAATCAGCCCACGAATTGATAGCATATTCAAGTATTCAAGTACGGAGACAAGCAAACCTTTCAGTAGATAAATTACACTGTGATAATCAGATAAAACAAAATTTTGCTAACGGCCAATAGATGTTCCATACCAGTGAACGTAGAAGCAGAAAAGAGCCGATCCTGGCCCAGATAGTATTTAGATGCAATGAAAACAATGCGCAAAAACTGAAAGGCAACAGCCTAAGGGAAAAGACCCAGCTTAACTCTGCTGGCCGTATTTCAAATAGGACTGGGAGCGCCGCATCAGCCGTTTAAGCAATCTTGACAAACCTGCACTCGTTTCGTCCTTTTTGATAGACATGTCCGGAAGGAAATCAGAGAGACATCCATGACGCATTTCATACAGCTGCCCATCAAGTTCTTTTGCCCAGTTTTCGAACAGTTTGAAGACAGCATTAGCTCGAGGCGACATCGCTGGCAGCTCTGAAATTTCTAATTTTGATGTTAGTCTTAATAATAGGAAACTTGAAGAATTTCGAAACAAAAAAAAAGAAGGGGGGAGTACCTGCTTGTTCAAGGCCAATGAGCCTCACAAATGATTTCATCCGATAGAGCTGTTGATTAACGAGAGCTAGGCGCAGAAGTCGCCATGCAAAGCCTTCCGAATCATTGTGCTGCTCACGCCGCAACTCCTCGCCCAATTCCTGGCTTGTTTCATCTTGCTCCTCATCCGAATCATAATCAGTGCCCAAAAACTCCGAAGACACATTCGGCTAAAATGCTGCGACTTTCGGAGAAG